TGGGTGAGTCTGGGCATCCCTTGATCCCTGGCAGTGAGGGCTGGGACACCAGCTGTGGCTTCTGGCCTTGCTGGGTGCCGTGGGCCTGGAGCTTGGGGGTGGGCCTGGGGAGCAGTGGCTGGAGAGAGGAGGGGACACCGTAGGGAATAGGATGCAGCCAGATCACCCGCAGGGGTAGATTTATGTGGACAAGGAGACCCTTGTTGGGGGTGAGGGGTGGGGGGGACTGTGTGTCTGTTCCTCTAGGTAAGTGAGGGGATCCCCTCCTCCAGGTTGATCTCTGAGGATTTTGTCTGTGTCTCTGGGAGTCTGTGTGTCTGTCTTCCCTGATGTTTTACTTACCTGTCCCTGTTGAGGGGTTGGGACAGTCTTCCTTCCCGTGGGTCTGCCTCTATGGACAATCTGAAACCTCCTCTGAGAGCTCATGGTCTCCCTCCAGAGTCTGTCCCTGTCCCCATGCGGGAGGGAGAGGAGTTCTGTCCGTCTTTCTGGGGATCGATATGTATGTTCCCTCTGAAGGCTCCTCTGTCTCTAGAGACAGGAGCCCTGGCCTTCTGGGGATCTGGTCTGCCTCCTTTGAGGATGTGGGTATCTGTGATCCCATCTCCCTGAGACGGGAGGAAGTCTTTCTTTCTGGGGGTCTGGGAGTCCATATGTCTGTCTCTTCTGAGGGTCCATGAGTCTGTCCTCTGGAGGCAGGGAGTGGGGGTCTCTGAGGCCTGGGGCTCAGCCCGCTGATGCCGTCTTGTCTCCCTCAGGTATTCTGGGTGGGGCCCATCGTGGGGGCTGCCCTGGCTGCCATCCTCTACTTCTACCTGCTCTTCCCCAACTCCCTGAGCCTGAGTGAGCGTGTGGCCGTCGTCAAAGGCACATATGAGCCTGAGGAGGACTGGGAGGAGCAGCGGGAGGAGCGGAAGAAGACCATGGAGCTGACCGCCCACTGACCTGTGTCAGACAGGGGCAGCCTCTCACCCCTGAATTGCAGGGGAAACCCTCCCCCACCCCCCAAAAAAAGAACCCATGACAGCAAAGCTTCCTTCCCCCACAGCGGGTCCTCTGGGCTAGGGAGGGGGGACTCGCTCCCCAGGCTGCAGTTAGAAATGGGAGCAGGAACCCATGATGGGATTCCTGGGGTGGGGGCCCGGGACTGCGGTCCATGGGGTGAGGGTCTCTCTGAGACGGGGCAGGCTGCTGCCATGAGGTCAGACCTCAGAGATTGTGAACACAGCACTGAGCTCACAGGCCGCCCCAGGCGCAGGGCAGTAAGGAGTGGCCTGTGTTCTTCCTCCCCACCCTCCGGGCCCCTCCTCAAGAGCCAGAGGGTCCCAGCCCCGAGGATGGCAGAAGCTGACCCTCCCCAGAGCTCCTTCGGAGGGCGAGAGACTGGCTCACTAAAGGCTGCCTTATTTATTTCTGCTTCTAGGTGCATGGGCTAGGGCTGCTGGGATGTGGAGTGGGGGCTCCCCAATAAACCACTGATGTCCATGTTCTGCCTCGTCTCTCCCCAAAAGCCTCTCCTTGGGACCCTGGCTCATCACTGCTCCTCTTCACCATCCCACACCTTCCCATGGGCTCCACAGGCCTCTGTGGAAAGAGAGCAAAGCTGAGCCAGTGGGGCCTAGAGTCAGATATGGGGGTGGGAAGATCAAGAGAGGGGGATGGGAGAGGGAGAGAGACCAAATATAGAAAGCGAGCTAGAGGTCAGGGGGAGGCAGTGGGAGCAGAGAAGGAGGCACCCTCTTCACTCAACCTCCCGCCTACACACCCCTCCCACCTCAGCTATGTCAAGTCCCTGCCCCTTGAGGAGGGTGTGCCAGGCAGGGTGGGAGAGAAATGAGCCAGCCTGCAGCCCCTTGAGATGCCAAGGGGGTGACCAGCCAGGTCTGTCATCAGGGAGGAGGCAAGGCCTGGACTCCCCTCTCTGCCCCTCCATGTTCTAAAAAGGAGCCATGTTGGGAGCCTGTGCTCAGAGACAGCAGCCCTGCCCCCCCCGCCCCCCCCACACACACACACACACATACACACGCTGCACTGGCCCAGCTCCTTTCTGGTCTCCCTTTCCCTGCCCCTGCCAGCCAGTATCCCCACCATCTTCCTCGCGGGGCCCCTGCTCTGCCCTCACTGGCTCTTGTCCCCTTGCCACTGACACTCCTTAGGGAACCCCTTAACGGGCCACGCCTCCATCTGTTAGGCTATAAAATGAGGATTAAACTGTTTCCCTCACAGGTTGCTGTGGGGATCAGATGAGATGAAGGGATGAGATTCCTAGGACACTGCTCGCTGTGGGAAAGGGTGGGATGCAGATGAGCAGCTCAGGACATGGCCCTGCATCAGCGTTAACGCATCTGCTTGGGGTCCAAGTCTTGATGCCGAACTTTGGGTAACACCAACCCTCCGAGTTTTAATGGCCTCCTGTGTAAAGCGGGGCTACTTGTGCTCATGGGTGGTTGTGAGGATAAAATGAGACAATAGATGGAAATAAAACCCCTGGGCAAACAGGACCAGACACTTCAGGGTGAGTGCTCGATAAACAAGTGTGAAGGGAAACCAGCAAGTACACATCTGGGACCCTGGCCACCCCCAGGTCCGGCCTCTGCTCTCCGGGGAGGTTTGAGCCTGAGCGCCAGCTTTTCTCTTGTGTGGGAACATTGCTCCACAGTCTTCATTGCCTCAGAAGACGAGGGGCCAGTAGGGGTAGGAGATGGGCGGGGAAGGGGAGGGAGAGTCTACAGACACTGCTGGCAAGGGTCAGTCCCAGGGGTTGGGGCGAGGGCGACAGAGTCCCCAGTCCTCCTCCACACTGGAGCCTCGTATCTGTGAGTGGGAGCTGCAGCCGCCCTGCCCTGCCCTGCCCGCCTCATCAGCGTGCAGTTAACACCAAAAGGCAGTTATGCGTGTGAGAACCTGTGGAAAGGGGCAGCCCCCCACTCGCCAGCTCCGGCCTCCACCCTGTCCCGCCGTAAATGCCAGCTCCGACCAGCAGAGGGGGACCTCGTCCACCGGATGCACAACTGCTGCGCTTCTTGTCCGCGATTTCTGGGTCTGGGCTCCAGACGTGGGGGATGGAGGACACGGGGAGTCTCTCAGGCCTGGGTCCCCGGGGACCACCAGGAAGCAGCTACTCTCAGTCCACCCCCACTCCACCATCCGAGATGGGATGCAGAAGAGAGGGAGTCCTTTCCCATTCAGGCTCCAGAAGACAGGTGCCTGGGAGGCTCGCCTCTCCCCAGCCCAGCAACGTGCGTTCCTTTCTCTGACAGGTGGGCCTGTGGGACACAGACCCTCAGGGCGGAGCGAGGCACCCAGTCCGAGGGAGTTCCCGGCCGCCGGAGGGAGAGGGTCCACCTAGGCCCAGGGCTTTGGACGGACAAGTTGCGCAGTCAGGCTTTGTGGCCGGCAGAGGGCGCTGTGCTCCGTGGTGGCTGATCTCCACGTGCCGCTAGGTCCCGGCTCACAAAGACCTGCAGGAGCCGCACACACCCAGCCCCGCGCCTCCACACTGACCTTCAGCTGTGCCGAGGGGCTGCGTCTTCTCCGCGTGGGCTGCTCACTCCGTGCAGGTGACAGCCTCGCCCGTCCTCCTCCACTCGTGTTCTGGCTCCATGTGTTCCCCGAGAGGCGCACGTGTGTCACACCCAAGCACACGTGCTCAGGCACTCCTGTGACCCTCTGCTCCACCTGAAGATGGGACCCAGGAAGAGCCTTGATTCTCCTCTAGGAGGCGTCCTACCCCTGCACTCCCCCTCTGCCCAGGGCTGCCAGGTCTAACCAGGTGGAAAGGTAGGCATGGTGAAGGGACGGAGGCCTGGGGTGAAGGAGGAATGGACAGAAGGCTGGCTGTCTAGATGGATGGACAGGAGGGTTGGCTGGAGGGTCAGCTCTCTAGCCCCTCTCTGAGCTGTTTCCTCCCCTGTCTGGTGCAGGTGAGATCAGACTTCCTTACCTGCCACATTTTGGGGGGATTGGGGAGATGATGTGAGGAAGCTGTCTGGACTTCTTTCCTTTCTGTCATATGTTTAATGACCCTCCTCTTCTCTCCTGATATCTTCATCCTTCTTGCTGCCCCATCTCCCCCCAAACCTGGTCCTCAGTCAGAGCTCACATTTCCCTCATGCATGTGCACACGCGCGCACACACACACACACACACACACACACACCTTCTCAGAGATCTGAGGAGCCCAGCACTCTGGGGAGCCCAGAGACAGGCCTCTGGGAGGTTAAGGGCACACAGCCACCTGACAGGCAGCTGTAGGCAGCCAGGTGTGGGGCCTTGGCAAAAGGCCTCTGAGCATGAGTGACCTCAAAGCGTGGCGCTAGAGCCCAGGACAGGCTGGGCCTGGCCAGGTGCTGGCTGGAACTGGAGCAGGCCCTGGCCAATGCCTGGCTGGCCTCGGGGGATGAAGGACCTTGTCCCAGGCCAGGCAGGGCCCCGGAGGCTCTGTTCTGGGCCAGCCAGAAACAAAGGCTGCCACTGCTCTTAATGCCCAGCCTCCAGGGTCCAGAGCAGGGGCCACCAGTGCTGCTTGTCCTGGAGCTGCCACAGCAACCAGGACCCTTCCCACCCAGCCCAGAGACAGCTGTCTCACTGGAGAGGGGAGTGGCAGTTCTAATAACCAACATTTTCCGGCTGAGAAACACCCTCCTAGGAGTTAGCACATTGACTCCTAATGACACGTGGGGAGGTGGGAATTTTAGCCTCCAGTCTATAAGGGAGGAAACTGAAGTCACAGAAGTTAGGCACTGGTCAGGCGTGCAGTGCATGGCAATGTCCAAATGCTTTCCCTTGTATTCTCTTATCACCGGTCTCAGCAGATAGGCTGGCCTGTTGTTTGGTGCCTGGTATACAGGCACAGAAACTGAGGCTCGGAAAGATCGAGGGCTGGCAAGCATCTGTCCCCCAGGGAGGGCAGAAGAGAGATGCCCTTGAGGTCCTCTGGGACAGCCTCCAGGCAGAGGACCCACCAGGCGCGGGGGAGTGTCAGTCACGCCGCCCACGCTCCATTCCTTGAGTAAGTATTGAAAGGATCCTCTAAGCCAGGAAGCACAGGAGTCGGTGCTGGAACAGTGGAGGCAGCGAGGCTGCCAAAGCCAGAAGTAGCGACTAGTACTGGCTTTGCTCAAGCCCAACTTCTCCACGCAGCTTGCCTTGCCTCTGCTGGAAAGGAAAATCGGGGCAGACTTCATGGAGGAATCAGACTTGAACAAAGCCTTTAAAAAGGAGACAAGGAGGAAAGGCGTTCCAAAGTCATGGTCTCTCCACTGTGTCGAGATTACCAGGCAGGTGATAAAGAAGGCAGGAGAGGGAGAAGTGCAAACCACAGATGAGACTGGGAACGGCCGAGAGACGGATGGGGCCCCTGATCCAACATGAGAGAAGGGTTGCCTCTGCTCCGGGGGCACAGGGAAGCTGGTGAGGGCGTGGCAGCCACCAGTGAGTTTGTGGCTGGCAGGGTGGGAGGAAGCATTGCCTGCTAGCGTGGCTTTCTGGGTGGGCCGGAGGCAAGTTGATCGGCTAGAAGAGTGGGGTATCCCACCTGAACAGAGTGGGGGAAGTTGAAGGAGGCCTTAGAAGAATGGAAAGACAGCCGCCCAGGGGTGGTGGAAGGACTGCGGAATAGAGCAGCGACCCCTGCTGAGGCCAGAGACCGTGGACTTGTCGTGGCAGCGGTCTGCATGGCTGGGCGGGTGTCTCCAGCAGTGCTCAGCAGTGCAGATGGTAGGCAGAGGGTGTGAGCAGAATGAGAACGGGGAGATGCCGGTGTGTGGCAGGGTAGGGAGAAAAGGGAGCCAGGACAGGGGGGCACCACAGTGAGATGCCAGGGCATCCGGCTGGAGAAAGCAGGGTCAAGCCAGGATGGCTGGGGGAACAGAAAGGGGGGGCGGTTACTGTGACTGAGATGGGGGAGGCGGGTGGCCAGAGCCTGTGATCAGAGCTGGGATGTTCACTGGAAGATTTCAGGGGGCCCGGTCCCAGGTGAGAGTAGGTATAGGACTAAGACAGGCAGCTGAAAGGAAGCAGATATGAAAGTCACCTGCCTCCAGGAGGTCAAGAAGCCGGTGAAGCCCTCGCTGGTTTGGCTCAGTGGATAGAGCTTTGGCCTTTGGACTGAAGGGTCCCGGGTTTGATTCTGGTCAAGGGCACATGCCCAGGTTGCTGGCTCAATCCCCCGTGGGCAGGAGGCAGCCGATCAATGATTCTCTGTCATCATTGATGTTTCTATCTCTCCCACCCTCTCCCTTTCTCTCTGAAATCAATAAAAACATATTTAAAAAAAAAGAAAAGGAAAAGCTGGTGAAGCATAGCCAACCCAGCATCGGGGCCACCCACTCCTCCCACTTCTTCACCCCCTCAAACAGCCAATAAAAGCTCAGACTTACAAGAAGCAGAAGGGAAGCTTTTATTCACTCGTTCATTCGACAGTTATTTATTGAGCACCTACTATGATCAATCCCTGTGCAAGATGCTGCATGTAGGGATGAGCAAAACTTGGCTCCTGCCCCCTCAGAGGCTCACTGCCTCACTGGGGAGACCCATTAACACCATGGCAACACCCCATGATGACTGTAGTGCACAAAAATGTCCAGGTGTGGTGGGAACACACAGAGGGACTCGCCTAAGAAAGGAGCAGGTGACAGTGAAGCTGAGCCGTAGGGATGATACAGGGTTACCTAAGCAGGAGGGGAAGCGCTCTCTAAGAAGGAGAGAGAGCATCTTCCAAGGAGAGACCAGCTCTGAGCGTTGCAGAACCACTGGCCATTTGATGAGGCCAGAGGGTAAAGTGCGAGGCAAGGATGGAGAGCGGGGAGGTGGGAGGAGCAGGGGCCTTGGAGGCCACACACGCACGTGCATGCATGGAGCTCACAGAGGGGACGGAAGCTTTGAAGGGATTTCAGCAGAGGAGCAGCAGGATCAGATTTGCATTTTAGAAAGATCACTCGGGCTGCAGTGTGGATAATTGATTGGAGCAGAGCAAGGGAGCAGACAGAGAGAACGGTTACAGGCTGCAGGGCAGCAGGGGTGCAAGCAGAGAGCACAGTCAAGAAACATGTAGGGGCTCAAAAGCAGCAGGACTGAGGCCTTTAGTGGATGAGGCAGGAGGGGGAGAAGGTCAGGATGCTTCCCTCGTGCCTCCAACTGAGCGGGAGGAGACAGGAGGGGTGCGTTTGGGGGATGGGAGAGAGGAGAACCTCATTCTGAGAAAGGTTTCATTTCGGGGGCCTGAGGACAAGCAGGGGCATCCACTGGGCAGGGAGATGTGTCCAGGGGCAAGGTCCCGGCACCCAGAGGTGGTTAAGAGGTGAAGACAGGATTATTTTAGCAGCTCAGCAGGTTCTTCTTATGGAGGGTACCTCTGTTTAGGCAAACACCTCAAAATACTGCCAAAGATAGAAGGGCAGAGCCTAGGGCATGGGTGACTTAGGGCTGGCATAGCCACAGAAATGGCTCAGCTGCCCTGTGTGAGACATAAGAGGTATTGTTTTGTCCCCTGAGAAGGAGAGCAGAGAAATGGGGGGGGGGGGGGGCCCCC